ACACTGGGGTACGTACCCCGTTACACACAAAGTGAACTCTCCATTTTGTCCATTGCAGCGGACACACAAGTTAAACTACAGCATTTACAAATTAGAATCTGAAAAATAACAATTGCTAACAACAATACTAATTTGTTCAATTAACGTACCTGCGCTTTACAGTCCAAGGCGCGTGACTCCTGACGAGAACGCTTTCCTTCCCCTCTGGCTTTGTAAATATGCACTCGTAGGTCTTCCCCTCTCGCTTTATAAATGTGCACTCGTAGGTCGTTGCGTAGAACTTCCATTCTAGCCGGATGGGTCGAGCTGAAGAGTTCTCGCGATCAATAGCTTTGTTCCGCGCTACTGCTGTCTTGTTGGATCGAACGCGAAACTTCTATAGAATGAGAATTGTAGCACTTAGTTCAGCGTTTTAGACAGAGCAAATACTGTACTTTTGCCATTACCTGGAATGTCAGCCCCTCGTATTCAGACAGATATGCTTCAAAAGCTAGCCACGATGAAAATGATCTTCTATCACTTCCAACGTTCAGTCTATTGTCGCCTGTGTCTGTCGACCCTGTAATATTGCGGCTCGTAGCGGCATCGTCCGCCGTCGTGTATGCTTCGTCGCATGTAGCTTTTCTTTTCCCAGTACCCCTGAGCTGAGTCGGCGGCTGACAGCTTGTAGCTTCAGTTCCTGGAGCAGGTGGGTCCATGCAATCGTCTCTTGTTAGCAGGTTCCGGTGTTGTGGTTGTCTCGTTTGCTTGGCAAGTCGATGAATGACAGCCAGTTGTTAATATTTTAAAATGAAAATGTATACAGAGCGTGTATGTATACATGGACCGTTTGCGATATTTAGTTTTGTGCAAAATTCAGGGAATGCTAAAACCAAGATCTGCCAGTCGGGGACAGGATCCACTCTCAAAAAATAAGAGAGGTTTCACAAAATACAAAGGCATAACCACAAATAGATATGGCTTCACCACAACTTTAAAAGAGCGTAGCAGTTGCAGCACTACAGTAGTAGAAAGTAACTACTTAAGCCTTCGTTTTCAGCACATGCATGGAAGTTGAACAGAGCGGGCGCGCTGGACGCCTTCCATGGCATAAAGTGTGGGGTTCTGGAGGCACTATTTCGTATGACGATTTCTTAGCTGTCTTACCACCGTTTTCCCGTCCGACTAGTGAGCTGTCGAGTATACCACATTGCCCACTACGAGGACAATCTGGCATCTACATGGCACGAGATGCGGTGCATAGTCACCAAGTGCAAATCAAAGCGATGCAAGGCCGCTGGGGAAACCTGTCACTGCCGATACAAAATATTAGAATGCCAGGAAAGTGATGGCAAGATTGTATTTGTGCAAGGTGAAGATACTATGGTTGACGATGCGCCACCGATTACTACAACAGCTAGGCTAACTGGTGAAATGAAAGCCTATCTGGACTCTAAACTTGAAGATACCCCTTCAATGGTTGCCCAAGTTTTGTACTCGTTTCTATGTTGTGAGGTAAGAGACGGGCGAATTGGTGGTCCAGCTCCCGAGCTCGCTCAGGTACAGAACTACCAAAAGGCTGGCGGCGCAAGAATTGACCCGACCCCATGGATCCGGTTCTAGCGCTTTATGCATGTACGATTGTGAAGATTCGCGTAGAGTTTGGGATCAAGATCCAGATTCTCTGCTAGGTTTTTGTGATACTAAAATGGTGGATGGTGTAGTTGAGCCAGCCCTCGGTACGGGTGCGTTAGGCAATCCGTTTCGTATTGGATTATCATGCGCAAGACTATTGGAGCGCTATGTCGATGTGCAGCAAAACCCATCACTTTTTACTATTATATATCTAGACACTACACACGACTGCGCGAAGCAAAAAAAAACTGTTTCTGTTACCGAAATTTCAGATCGTGCTGGAAGATTCTTGCCTATTCGATACTGTTGTACATCACAACGGCGCCATGAAGATGTTGCATGGTA